AACCTTAATACAGAGTAGTGAACCCAATCCTTTCTGCATTCTCCGTACAACACACACATTCACACAAATATTCACATACAGATATATATATATATATATATATATATATATATATATATATATATTTTAAGCATTTCACCCTAAGCAAGGCGGGATGCCACTAGTACGCAAGGGGTTACAGAATGGGAGCGAGAGTAAAGAGACGTGATGGAGGAAAGAATGAAGAGAAGGACAGGGAATAGGTCAGGGGATCTGGAGATGTCGATTGACATTACATTTGAATAGTTGGAGTTTATAGCTATCAGGGAAACAAGTAATGGAAAGGAAATTCTACAAACGGGAGGTGCGAGACATGATGCTATTGGAGTAGAAGAGACAGCCATATTTAACAGTTTCGACAGTGAAAGGGTGGGACCGTGATGCCAGCCTAGTAGCACGCTTAAATTCATGCAATCTGGGAACTAGCGAAAGTAGCTCGTCGCAGCAGTTACCGTGAAAGTATTTGCAGAAAAGACAGAGGGAGGTGACAGCACGTCTGTGAGAGAGCGACTGTAGACGAGATGCCAGATCAGGACCAACGATATTGCATATCCGTCTCTGGATCTTGTCGAGGGGCTTATATACGAGGGTCTATTGGAACGTTCATTGTCTGACCAATGTACTCACATGGAATATGACCAAATCGAGTTTGTTTTTCAATATAGTCCCCTTGCGGTCCACACACTTCTTTCAGTGCAGTACATTCATCCTGATGGTCAAAAATTTCATCAACAGCGGATATGGGGTCATTATCCCTGTGAAACTGGTTCCCAGCCAATTGTTGGGAACCATTTGGGTAATACATGATAGGGAAGGTGATCAACCAGTTCAAAACCGCACTGAAGCATAGCAGCCATTGAAATCTAGTATTTGCGTACTGGAGCATTTTTCTGTTGAACTAAAACACTTTTCGGCTACTTTCCTGGGGGTCTGGTCTTGATAGCCTTTTGTAACTGCGTCAGCCAGTTAGTATAGTACTCGACATTGATGGTGTGGGCTTTTGAAGATAGTCAATAAACATGATGCCTTTTGCATCCAAAAAAACCGAGGCCATCTCCTTACCTGCAAATGAAATGACCCTGGCCCTCGTTGGAGCAGGTGAGGAAGAGTGTTTCCACTGCATGCATCGTCTCTTTGTCACTGGCTCAAAGAGATGAACTCAGCACTTATACTAGATTAGTAACGTTCGAGAAAACCAAACAATTCTGCCTAAAAAAATGTCGGATTATCCCGCGATGTGATAAACCTGTGCGCTTTTGAACAGGTGTCAGAAGACGTTGCAACAGAAACCTTTGTGATGCCAAGTGCATTGTGCAGAATATTCTCAACTCTCTTACTTGATATGCTAATAGCATTGGCTATTTGATTTATAGCCAATCGCCTGTCATCCATCCATTATGTAGAGAACACGATCTATGTAGAGAACACGATCTATGTATTCTTCGATGGTGGCTTTGTAGGAAGTCTAGACCTTGTGTCATCTTCAAGACTCTCTCCCCATCCCCAAATTCAGCTGCCCTCTTTTGCATTGTTGAGAAAGCTGGAGCGTCAATTCCTAATGTAGCAAATATTAGGTTGGTGCAAAAATAATGACGTAAGAATGTCGTTTTTTGACGATAAAAAATACGTCAAAAAACGACATTATTACGTCATTATTTTTGCACCAACCTAATACATCAGCATAGGGGCTACAACTTTTTTTGTTTCTGCAGGTAATCTATAACGCCACGATGTCAAACGTTGTCCGTTTTCAAGAGAAGTCTCTAATAGTTAAATCTGAAGACTTCTATGAAAAAGTCAGATGTCAATTTACCTGAAAAGAAACAATAAAGCTATTTATAAGAAGAGCTGAAATTAAAGTATTCAAGATTCCACAACCCTTGCATCACATCTTCATAGTCAGCCTATGAACTATTCAGCATACCTTCGTATATATAAATACATACAATTTTCTTGTTTCGGTTTTTAAATACATGCATACATGCAAACATACTTATATAATTGGCCCTGATCTGGCGTCTCGTCTACAGTCACTCTCTCACAGACGCGCCGTCGCCTCTCTCTGTCTTTTCTACAAATACTTTCATGGTAATTGCTCCGATGAGCTGCTTTCACTGGTTCCCAGACTCCATGAATTCAAGCGCCCTACGAGGCTGGCATCCCGCTCCCACGCTTACACTGTAGAAACTTTTAAATGTAGCCGTCTCTTCTACTCCAATACCTTCATACCTCGCACCTCTCGCCTGTGGAACACCCTTCCCAATTACTGTTTCCCTGAGAGCTATAATCTCCAACTATTCAAATCGACACCTCCAGTTACCTTGATCTTTACACTATCCCTCTCCTCATTCTTTCTTCTATCACTCCTATCTGCTCTTGCTCCAAATCTTCTGCAACCCCCTGCATCCTAGTGGCTTCACGCCTTGCTCGGGGCGTAATGCTTAAATATATATATATATATATATATATATATATATATATATATCCAGGACTAAATGTTTCCACTCGGCGTTGTTACCTCTTATATTCACGCACGCCCTATCCGAAACAGTTAAATGTAACCGCCTCTTCTACTCCAACAGCTTCTTCTCTAGAACTTCCCGACAGGGAAATCCCTTCCTCTTACTTGCTTCCTTAATAAATATAATCTTCACAAATTTAAATGTAATGTCAATCGACATCTTCTGTTGCCTTGAGCCCCGTTCTTCTCTTTATCCTCCTCCGTTCTTATTTTTATCCGTTCCGCACCCCCCTTATACCCAGTCTTTTCCCTTACTTACACTCTATGTAACCTCTAGTGACACTTGCTTGAAGTGAATTGCTTAAAAAAAAGTCTTTTAGATTATAATGGAAAAGTAGAAATTAAACAAATATTGCGTTTGTAAATTAATTGTTTTAAGAGTAAGATACTCGATGTAAACATTGCCCTCACAATGGGTTGAGCAGTTATTGCTCCAGGTGGTCACCATTTATCGCCTTTTTTTCTTTTCGGGTAGTATGCATACCTTTCTGTGACTTGTTCTTCCACTTTTATTTTCAGTCAAATACTCCTGGTAATGGCGTAACCTCATGAATCCTTGTAATCTTTCTTATGAATCCAATGAATCGCTAATTAGACATTTTTTTAATCATTTCACCCAAGCTAAGCAGTAAACCCACTAAGACGCAAGGATTTACAGAGTGTGAAAGTATAAGAAAAAAAAACACATTAAGTAGCGAGAATAATAGAAGAGTTTTGTAGCATACCTAAGAACGATAATGGTTATGTCCCTATTCACATAAATACAGTAGTAAATACTGTATGTTGGTCAGGAGTCGGCGATTCGTCTCCAGTTTTGCTGGTTAAACTCTCTGTTTCCGCGCAGAGAGGATCCCCATACGAGGCTATGTCGAAAGACATAGTTTCGCCTCGTGAAAAAGCTACCCGGCCCCGTTTTATATGGAGTCTCTCGGGGAATTTTTTGGCCGAGCCTACGTCCTCGGATACCCCACATTAAATTCGGCCTTGTGCCACAACTGACTGCGGTTAGTAGATATCCTGCAGTTGGAGATTCGTCTCCTACTGTGCTGGTCAAACTCTCTGCCTCCGTGTAGAGAGGATCCCCAGACGAGGCTATGTCGAAGGGCGGAGCCGGGCCTCTGGAAACAGCTACCCGACTCCGTTTTATATTGGGTCTACGGGGAATTTTTGGTCGAGTCTACCGACTCAAAGACTCCACATTAAATTCAGTTTTGTGCCACATCTGACCACGTGCGGTGGTTGGTAGATATCCTGCACTTGGAGATTGATTGTGGAATTCACTTGACTTACATCTACGCGCCGTTGGTGAATCTTATATGTGTTGTTCTTGTCCTAAGTATTATAGTTACCTTCGTGTGATTATTCTATTCAGTAACCTTCCCTAGGTTACACCAAAGAGTGACCAGGAAGACAGTAGATAACGATCGACATTACACTTTTGAAGATCAAAATTGGCTATGAAGCATGGAGCCGAAAAAGAGTTCCATAAGTGAAAAGTGCAAGAAAAGAAACTGTTAGCATTGCACTTACGGTAAATTGAGAAGACCCAATTGCTAATAAACCCTAATCCTGAATGAACGTATCGTTGAAAATAGGTCAAGTCATCCATTGATGACATCCGCTTTTTTTTTTCTTTCTTTTTTTTTTTTAAGCATTTCACCCCAAGCAAGGCGGGAAGCCACTAGGACGCATGGGGTTACAGAAAATTTGGTGCAAGATCAGATAGGAGTGATAGAAGAAAGGATGAAGAGAAGGGTAGTGGATAGACCAAGGCAACTGGAGATGTCGATTGACATTACATTTGAATAGTTGGAGATTATAGCTCTCAGGGAAACTGGAATAGGGAAAGGAGTTCCACAGGCGAGAGGTGCGAGACGTGAAACTATTGGAGTAGAAGAGACGGCTACATTTAGAAGTTTCGACAGTGAAGGGGTGAGAGCGGGATGCCAGCCTCTTAGGGCGCTTGAACTCATGAAGTCTGGGAACCAGCGAATGCAGCTTCTCAGAACAATTGCCATGAAAGTATTTGTAAAACAGACAGAGAGAGGCGACGGCGCGTCTGTGAGAAAGTGACTGTAGACGAGATGCCAGAGCAGGGTCAATTATATTGCATATCCGCCTCTGGAGCCTATCAAGAACCCCGAGGTAAACAGAAGGGGCTCCAGACCATATATGGCAGCAATACTTCATACAAGGACGAATTGTTGATTTGTAGATCTGGAGGATCGATTCCGGGGAGAAAAATTTCCTGGCGCGGCACAGGGAGCCAACTTTCCTTGCGGTGGACGAAGCAATTGACTCAATGTATTTGTTCCATCTCAGCTCAGTCGTCAACGTGAGACCGAGCAGCCGCAGAGAGTTGCTCTCGAGAAGTTGAGCGTCAGTATCTCCAATAAGACATCAATGGATGATGCCGGCCGTTTAGTGGTTAAATAAGGCTTACGGCCACATCCCGTTACAACATCTGTCCCCGTAAGTTCACCGAAGTTAAGCAACGTCGAGCCTACTCAGTACATAGATGAGTGACCGCTTGGGAATACCAGGTGCTGTATG